GGGGGGGGGTTAAATCCCAAAAAACAAAACAAAAATGTGTATTTTCTGTATTCAACGACATTTAATTTTTAAAAAGAGTGAAGATGAGTTATTTACAGCATGGAATGTTTATTCATTATAATCATAACAATATAATGTGCATCATTCATAATAATGCTTTAAGTTTGTTCATTTTAGCCTTTTAAAAATCAGTTACCAAATATATATTCTATATACAAGGAACATATACCAAGAAATGTATAGCTGACACAAACACAAATGATCAACATTACAAGTCAACAACATAATCATGTTGTCACTGCATTGAGGGAACAGTTGAACGGATTTGTCACTTTCTTTAGGCGATGGGAACACCTTAACAGGTACAGTCGTAGAATTGAAAATGAAGGGATCAAGTGAAATACAGGATAAGTCCATTTTAAGGAAAAAAATAAAGGTACTAAATATAGACCTTGACATACAACACTACCTGAAGAACATCCCTATCAGATCAACAAAGTGAAAAACCATTCACAAACTGTATTTTCAAAACAGCAAATCAGGAACAAGCGTAGTAAATAATTAACAAGTTTAAAATAGGTTAAGTTCTGGTAAGATTAGGCCTAATAATGTGACTTACCCTGTTTTTCACGAGCATGACCCCTTCAAATATCTGACAAACCATTAACACAATATCATAGACCATGTTGGAAGCAGGCTTTTTTGACACTTCTCATCTGGGCAAAGTCACAATATATCCCAACAGAACAACTGAGACTCTTGATGAAATATCTTTCCACATGGGAATCGAACTAATGTGTTTTGCACCTTAGCTGTCTCACCACAGATACTAGCACTCACAAGATCTGTCACTCTATTTTTAGATCGAGTTAAACAGAAATGCATGGACAGGGTCAGGGTGCCACACAGTGGGAACCAGCCATGGCATTTGTCAAATTTTTCTGCATGGGTGTAATACTGTGTATTTGGTATTCTTTTTGTATAATATGTTTATTGTGCCTTTAATTATTTATTTACCTACGTATCTTTGCCATTGTAGTTCAAATTGTCCTACTGGGATCCCTAAAATGTAATTTATCTATTTTATTTGTTTTACAGAACAGGAAAAAGAAAAACATTAAATAGCATCACGAAGAGCTGAACAGTACATATTACAACCTACTATAGGGACATCCTCTGACCACCCTCCAATATTTGTTTGTTTGTTTGTTGTGCTTTACAGCACTACAGCACTTGCAACACAATTAGGTCATATAGATCTAAGCGCAGAAAATTCGAATTGTTACAAGAGAGTAACAAACAGAAAAAAAGAAGAAGGGGAGATTTATATAGGATGATAGATGTTTGTAGGATTGTCGGAAAGAAGTAGTACACAACATATTAAGAGCACCCATCAATCCTCGACCCTCCGATATTTGTTATCAACTTCTTGTCATTAAGTACAGATTAAAGTAAACATTAATGATGTTGTGTTTCTTCACTTTCCCTTTTTCATTAAGTACAGATTAAAGTAAACATTAATGATGTTGTGCTTTTTCGCTTTCCCTTTTTCATTAAGTACAGATTAAAGTAAACATTAATGATGTTGTGTTTTTTCGCTTTCCCTTTTTCATTAAGTACAGATTAAAGTAAACATTAATGATGTTGTGTTTTTTCGCTTTCCCTTTTTCATTAAGTACAGGTTGATATAAACTCGGTACTAACTTTACTTTAGACATTATTCTGTTTCTTTGCTTTCCCTGTACCGGTAAGTACAGATTATTGTAAACACAGTATATTGTTGGTCTACATCTTCTCTGTATCATTAAGTACTCACTAATGAACAAAATTATGACGATTGTTTGCTGTTTTCGCTGTAATATAAAGTACAAATTACAGAAAAATTATAGAAGAGATGAGATTTTTCTTATTTTCTCCCAATCATAACATACAAATTGCTGCTAAAAATGAACGTGGAAATTTTTCATTATTTGCTTTACCAATTGGTTGCTTTTTTGAGGACAAGCGGGCTAACCCAGATTTCAGGGGTTTCCAGAAATCTAGATCTATACCAAAAGTGGGCATCGGCCTACCTATAGGAGAAGTTTGGTTATATTGGTGGGTATATTTGTTTGGTTTATAGAGAAAACTCTCCTTGTCTTTTGAAGAAACTGAACAAGGGTAAAAAAAAACTTTACCTTTGATTTTCTCCAAACAGCATTTTTCGGGATAGCTCCCTTGTGCTAAAAAGCCACCAATTGTAATAAATATAAATTAACAGAGAAAAAAATACTGACAGAAAATTTTCCTTATTTTCTCTCTATCATTAAGTTCACATTAATGGCATGGGAACAAAAAAAAGTTGAAGACAAAAATTGCTCCCTATTTTCTTTCTATCATTAAGTACAATTTATAAATTGCTATATATAAAAGATAGCAATTTTCATTACATATATTCTTTCAATCATTAAGTAAAAATTAAGGAAAAAACTGACTGAAATAATTATTATTTTCTCTCTCAAAAAGTAAGTACAACTTTCAAGGAAAAAATCATGATGGAAATCTTTCCTTATTTCCTCTTCATTAAAGCCAAATTTAATTTAAAGGAAAAAATCAAGGTAGAAATTGCTTGTTATTTTCTCATAAGTAAGTACAAAAACTACAAACATCAGTGTAAAAAGCCTCTGTAGCTTCCTCTTATAATAACAGAACGGTGGTGTCCTGATTTCGCTGCATTATAGTAAAATAAGTCAGATTCTTCAGTCTCTCAAACAAGTTTACTAAACAGTCAAAGAGCCATAAAACAGAAACACAATACATTAAGACCTGGCATACACCTACACATGATATACAGTCGAACCTGTGTAAGACTGCCACCCATAGTCAAGGAGAAAAGTGGCCGTATAAGACAGGTGGCTGTCTTAGGCTGGACTGATCAAGATGAAGAAAACAAACCATTCTTTTCTGAGGTCCCAACTGAAGGTAGCCGCATTGTATTTGTTGTTGTTGGTGTTATTTTTGTTGTTTTTACAGGGTTTCTTTTCTCTTTTTTTTTCTTTTGTTGCTGCTTTTGTGCTTGGGTGACAATAAAACGAAATGTGTCAGACTGAGAGGACAGAGTGCCGTGTTAAAACAAAGACATGGGTAGCCACCACTCGGAGAACGAGCGACGCTTCTGTCCATCATTACTTTGTCACAGACTGGGTAAACAGTGACCACTCATCTCACTTACGACTTGTCTATGAGTTCTGGGTGCGGCATATGGGTCATGAGGGATCACACGCTTACCTCACCAGCAGCTGAAAATTTGTTACCGATTGGTCAACAGTGGGAGGGGCCTACACAACATGATCGGTTGGAGGGACTACCTAACAATAACGACAGGTGATTGGATTATGATGGCTCGCCCACAACGCCAGGGGCCAATGCACAATTTATGACAAAACGCAACAGAGTCATTAAGGTGGCCGTCTAAGACAGGTATTATAGCTTGGTGTGATAGGGGTTGTGTGTTAAAATATGGTGGCCGCAGCTGCGTTGGACAGGTGCCCGTTTTACACAGTTAAATTATACAGAAAAAAAGCAAGGGGGGAAAAGGAAAGTGGCCGTTTGTACAGGTGGCCGTCTTATAGAGGTGGCCGTCAGGCCAGGTTCGACTGTTTATTTATGTACACACATACACACACACACACACACACACACACACACACACACACACACACACACACACACACACACACACACATACACAGCGACAACCACATGTGCACAAAGACACACACATATATAAAGACACACATTTTTATTATACACACATAACATACACACCTATAAACACACACACATACACACACACACACACACACACACACATGTATATAAACACACACAGACACATACAATGCATTGTTGAGTCAACACAGAACAACAGGACACTGTGCTATAAGCTCAATGCAGCAAAACATAGCATGTGCACACAAAAAAAATAATTTATTTTTCACCATTAGAACAACCCAAAACAAAATGAAAATATCAACATGATAACCAAAGAAAATGTGTCTCAGTATGTAAAAACATTAAGTACAAAAACCGTCAATATATATATATTTCCATATAAGCTTTTTACGGCACTTGCAGCACAATAAGGTCACATAAGTGCAGAAGATAAGCTGTGTTGCAAAAGAGGAACAAACACAAAAAAGAAGGAGGAGAGATAAGGATGATACATGTTCGATAGGAAAGAAGGAGCAAACCACACGAGAGCACCCGCCAACCACCTGCACACAAAACATAGAATGAAGTTGACAACATACGTAGAAATATTATGTGAGGCCTTGTGATGAAAGAGCACCCACCAGCCACTCTTGATGTTGGTGAAAAGAGAGGAGACAGAGTGGAAGCAGACATACCCAGACAGGAAAGAAAAAGGTCAGAAAAAATGAGACCCTGCATACAATTGGAGAGACAATTCAGTGTGTGTTCATGCACATATATGTGCACTCACACAGACGAACAGAGACATGTATAACAGATATACAGATACAAACACACACATAAAGATCAGAAAAAGCCCAAGTGCTGAGCATTCAAGTTGCGTAAGGTAATTTCAAACACACCCAAAAACTCAACAAATTGTAGTATTAACACAATTCATTCATAACCATGCTTGCTGCAGTTGTGTATGACAATATCTCTCTCTCTCTCTCTCTCTCACTCTCTCTCTCTCCCCCCCCTCTCTCTCTCTCATTCTCTCTAACACAGACACATCGACACATAGATTATCCCCCCTCCCCTCTCTCTCTCTCTCTCTCTCTTTCTCTCTCTCTCTCTTTTTCTGTCTGTCTGCCTTCCCCATCTTTCATTTTATCTCTCTCTCTCTCTCTCTCTCTCTCTCTCTCTCTCTCTCTCTCTCTCTAACACATACACACACACAGACACACACACACACACACACACACACACACACACAGACATTTGTCAGACATTTCCAAACAGCTGCATATCATAGTTCCGTATGATGACGTCAGACAGTAGTTTGTTATCACTTCTCCTACTCTTATAAACATCCGTACGTTTGTGCGGTCTGGCCTTGTTGGTCTCGCCGCTCCACCCAGGACTCGAACCCCCGGCCTCCGCAGCCCGGGCCTGACGTAACTCAGCCGACGACGGTGGGATTGCGTACACTTCCTGCTGGCCTTCACTTCCGGCCTCGTCGCCAGCTGATGTCACAGGCGCTCTACTTGGACTCGCGTTGACAGACTCGGGACAACTAGTGATTGCGTCTTCACTTTTCGTGCTGGCGGATTCCCTCATTGTGTTAGGGTGCGTTGACCTCTGACTCTGAGCCTTGCCCTTGTGTGCCGGGGTCAGAGTTCGCGCGTACGTGTCCCAGTCCTCCACCTCCACCACATCAATGTCGGAGAGATCCGAACTGAAGTAGTAGCACGTACGGCCAGCCTCCCTGCTCGCTACACTTCTACTCCGCCCCGACCGGCTTTTGCTCCTCCGTTTGTGATAGGACTTCTTGCCCACTCTCCTGTGTCTGTACTGAGACTTCTTTTTCGACGACGAAGATGACGACGACGATGATGACGACGATGAAGACAAAGATGGTGAGGGGGAGGTCAGCTTCGCCCCACTACCCACATCCTCGCTCTCTCTTGACCGGTAACGTTTCTCCTTCCCGACCAAATCCCCACCAAACTTTGACGATGAGGAAGACACAACACCTGAGCCCTTTTCTCTAGATGTCCGCGAACGACTCCGAGCTTTGCCTTCCGAGTGGCCGTGAGATCTTGACCGGTCCGACAACGCACTGGACCTGTGTCTAGAAGGCGGCTTGTTCTTTTCCCCTAGGGGTGGAGTCACAACGGGGCTCTTGTTCTGTGAACCGGATGATGAATCCTTTCTCTTAGACAAGGCTGTCTTCCTCTCCCCTTCAACCGTTGTACTCATACCACCACCCACACCCCGAATGATCTTACCCCGCGCATGACCTCCTTGCGATGGGGTTAGATTTGAGACTCCGTCTCCACGAGACCCGACAACCCCCATCCCCGCTGTCGCTACCTCTGCACCACCACCAGCCTCACGCGCATGCACAGCCACTGACACCGCCATCTTGTGTCCGGATTTACCCTCATCCCCGACAATACCAGAAGTAGAGACACCACCACAATTCGTCGACTCTATGCCGGGCGGAGCCTCCTTCCCTGACATCTGACTCTCAAAAAGCTTAGTCATTTTCTCCACAATATTCGACTTTGCCCGCCGTACCGGGGCAGCAGATTTCTCTTGATCCACATCAACAGTGTCGCCACCTAGCGCCGTTTCCGGTAGCAAGTCCAGAGTCGCTAACTCAAGCTTGTGACGTCTTCTGTACCCTGGTATTGAACCTGTACCCCCTGGACTTATAATACTCACACCGTCATCCCCACAGGGTACAGATGGTTTGCTCAAGGCAGTTGAACTTTGAGGTGCAGGAACATTGTCTCTGTTTTGGTTTGAGGTCAACTCCTCTCCCCTGACAGTAGCGACCCCTGATGGTTTCATCCCGGTATCCGCGCCAATGATCGCCTGCTGTGATGTGTAATTGACCTCCATTCCGTCAAGACCGGTCTCTGCAGTTTCTGGAACACAAGTTATGCCGTTTTCGAGATGAACTGGTCCTGAGGATACAGTTGAACACCCGATCTCCAAAGCACTAGTTTTGTTTTTTGTGGACGATACTTCTGTCTCCTGGGCATTGTTCCTCTCCATCCCAGCTCCTCCTTCCCCTCCTGCTCTTCTGCCTGGTTGTATGTACTGCTGTGATGTCATCGCAGGCTGTGTGTGTTGTGGAGAAGTCATCACCTCAGGGTGTGACTGTTGCTGTTGCTGCTGCATCGGCGGTGAGTCGGCAAGCTCTTTGTGTCGACCACAAGCACACGAGGCGGCGGCATGCGTCCCGTACTGACGACCTGTGAGCAGCGACATGGCCTTGCTGGGTAAGGGGGAGTAGATGTCGTGAAGCGCCCTCTCTGACACCAGCTGGGAGCAGGAGAGCCGCCAACTCCTGTCGTCACGTGACCTCCCAGGGAGGGTACCTTCCTCCTCCTCTGTGCTCCCACTGACTGCTGTGTTAGGCCGTCTGGGGCCCGGACTTGAGCATCGTTTCAAACCGCTTGCACGATGAGCTGAAACCGTTTCCTTTACAACCGAGCCCCCGACTCGTTTACTGAAGGGCGCACTACTGGAATGGGTCGTTCCGTGTTTATTAGCGAGTGCTTTGACAGATGGGGCATCGTGTTGATCTTTATACACACCCGAGACACAGGTCTTCTTCTTTGTTTTGTCATATTCTTTTGAACTAATACTGCAGTTGCTCTGTTGTTCTTTTGAACTAATACTGCAGTTGCTCTGTTGTTGCTGATACTGTTGTTGCTGCTGTTGCTGATGGTGATGGTTGTAATGATGGTGGCTACTATAAATTCGTTTGTCCTTCTTCTCCTTCGTCTTCTCTCTCCGCTTCCCACGCTGGGGGCCGGACGCTGGTCGCTCTGACCCAGAGCATCCGGGCTCATCATAACCGCTGCTGTCGCTGTTGTTGTTATTGTTGTTGTTGTAGTTGTTATTGTTATCATTTCTACTATTAATATTGTTGTTGTGGTTGTTGTTGTTATTGTTGTTATTGTTGCTGTCTCTATGGCTGCCTGTGCCCCTCCCATCCTCATCGGCCGAGTCGTCGGAATGGTCAGCCATTGTCCCCTCATCCGAGTCACCGCTGGGCGTGTGCCTGCCTGGTGACGTCATCATCATCTGCTGTGACATCACGCTGTAGACAGTGGTCAGCGACTCCGAGTCTGACGTCATAATCTCCCCCCCACACGCGCGGCACTGGCTCTCGTGACACCCTTGACCTTTCACCTGGTATGGGCTGTGAGCAAAGTCTGTGAGACAATCCAAAATGGCGGCTCTCTGGTCCACCACAAGATCCCCGAACACATCCTTGAGGTGGCCCAGACGGGAGGAAAGACGTGAACCGTAACCTCCCCACGACACACCCATTCCCTCCTCATCCTCCTCCCCCTCTCCCTCCTCCTCCTGGTGCTGTGAGTGAGTGGAGTAGACTGAATCCCTCCGACATCGCCGGCACATGCGTTTTTTCCTGGCCACGGCCCATTGTGCTATGTGCTCCACTTCCTGCTCCAGGTTGAGCGTGGACTTGACTTTGGACAAGAAGTAGTCATAGCCTGTCTGCTCACTCTCACTAGATGTGCTGATGTCGTACTCGTAGCAAGTGTCACCGCTGTCTGTCTTGTTGCCGCCGGGTTTCGAGTTTGATTCTCCGGCTGCGGCTGAGGCTGTGGCTGTGGCTGAAGCATCCACAACCCCCCTCGTTGGACCACTGAGCTTACCGGAAGAATGTGATTTGTCGTCCACAGTGCCCGCAAGACTCGGGAGTTGAACCTGCAACTCCTGCACCCAGTCCGAGCTCATTGACTCCTGAACCACTGATTTGTTCACCGGTGGTGCTGGGTTCGACTTTGAACCGGCTACTTGGAAAGCAGAAGTGACGAGTTCTTGCTTGACGTCATTCCCGTTAAGGTCTGTGTCATTGGAGACGAGGTCGTTGAGTGCAAGACGAGACAGCAGCTTAGAAAGTCGAGTGTTGGACTTCTCCAGATTCTCGTTTACCTCTGGCTCACAACGCTCCATACCGTGCACTGTGTGGGCTGGGGTGTGAATGTGAGTGTGGGCGGACAGGTGGGCTTTTCCTGGGATGTGGGACGACGGATGCAATGGAGTAAGTGGTGTTCCTGTGTTGGGGTCTGCCACAGACTTACCACTAGCCACTTCCTCTCTCAGATTTTTGCTGGGTTTGGACTTTGCCCCTCGTGAAAACATGGAGAATATTCCAGAGAAACCACTGCTAGCCCTGGTCTCGCCTGCAGATTGTCCAGATTTTTTCATTCGGCTTTGCGTTACGTCAGCAGCTGTGGTAGAGTTCAATCTGTGTATCTTGGGAGACACGTCTGCGGACGTAGTTTGGAGGGTTTGTAGTGACATTGACTGCAAGGGTTGTGATGACATGGGCTTCAGGAACGATTGTGATGATGTAGGTTGCGTGATGTGTTCTACATCACACTTGTCACCGGACGACGAAGGGGCTGAGTCTGGCTTGGACAGGGCGTGGCTTGGCCCGGTGGGAGGAGACACCCATCGGAAGCCCACACCAGAGCGGCCGGCGCTGAGAGAGGACGAGTCGCTGGAGACAGGTGACGTGTTCTGACCTCTCAGCAGCTTGCTCAGTGGGCCAGAACGACCTTTGACCCCATCGCTGGCCGGCCCACACACTCTCACACACTGAGGGGACATGGCCTTAGAGTCTCCTTCACCTGACACATACACAGACGACCGCTCATCATCCTGACCCCCCATCCGCCACGCCACTCCACGAGAGGGCATCCCAGGCATCCAGCTATCATCCCTTGTGACGTCACACGAGCGAAGCGCCGCTGGGGTCCAGCTATCATCCCTGGCTCGAGAGCCGGACATTTCCAGAGGCGGCTCCGGGCTGTGACTTGTAGCCTCAGAGCACGTGATCTCCGGGCTGGAGTAGCGGCGTCGTGTAAGCAGACGAGAGGAGTACACGTGTTCATACGTCTCGTCGCTCACTGACTCAGAGTAAGTGATCTGGCGGATCAGGCGACCGCAAGCCTTGCACGAGCCGGCCCCATGCTCTAACCCCTCCACCATTCCACCAGCAGCACCACCCAGCACACTACTCACGTCATCTTCCTCCTGTTTGTCGTCCGCGCAGCCGCACGAAGACGAGTGCTGGTCGTCCGAGCATGTACAGAACTCCAGCTGCAGACCTTGGCTACATGCCCGGACATCGTCCATGAGGTCGTGGCTACATGTTTGGACGTCTCCCCTGGCTGTGACATCATGATTGCACATGTGACCTGCGTGCGCGTAGGCCGGGCCTGGAGAGCAGATGCCGGCTGTGTTGACAAACTCTGACTGAATGTCCGAGTAGATGACCCTGGGGTCACATTCGTCAGACACGTTACAGCTCTGGTGTCTCGAAGACACGTCATAGTCGCCCAGAATCATCCCCGTGACGTCACCATCCTGGCGCTGCTGACTGGTGGGCATGACGTCAAGGATTGTGTTGTAGAGTTTGGGCTCGTCTGGGATGTTAATCGAGGCGTACGTACAACACGAGGAGGCGCTGGAAGGCCGGGGCAACAAGGGCAGGCTACTCTCGCCCGCACACGACACAGACTTCTCACCCCTCCCATGGTAGTCTCCGTTAGACATCTGATAAAAGCACGAACCTTTCTTCGATTCAAGGAAGTGTGAGTCCGACTGCTGTGAATGCGTCTCAGCCTCTCTGCCTCCTTCCGTCTCTTGGATGGTGGCGTAGCACACACTTCCTGTTTCCGGTTTGAGCTGGTCTTGAATGGAAGAATATGTTACGGTACGGAGATCTGGAGAGCTGCTCGAGTGATTGCCTCTGCCGTCCAAAACGCTAGAGTGACTTCCCCTACCGTCCAGAACGCTAGAGTGACTGCCTCTGCCATCAAGAACGCTTGACTGACTACCCCTGGCATCCAGCACACTAGAGTGACTGCCCCTGGCTTCCTTATCCAGAAAGAAATTCGCCCCGTTCATGCTCTCTACCTCATCTTCACTTCCATACTCGCTAAACTCCAAGGGGTGAAAGGTCAACCCCGTTGACCTCGGAATGAAGTTACTGGCTGCGCTATAAGTGACCACACCCTGGGCGCTGGACTCCTGACTAGCGCCGTCATCACAGCTCGAGGTCATGTGACGCTGCCCGCTGGCCACACACGAGCTAGAGGCCCAGTGTGCACGTGATGATGCAGTCGATGACATCATACCTAAGCTGGAAGATGACGTCACTGCGTGTCTGTGCGTATCTGTTGAGGCACGTCTGTCCCGTGAGCAAAAATGAGTGTTGTTCCTGATCACACCAGAAGCCCTTCGGCCCGTCCCACCGCTAGGATTTAAACCGCCAGAGCTGCTGTCCACATTGAACGCGCTCACCTTCGGCTTCCGACTCAGCAAAATCTCGCAGTGCGTCTCCTTAACGATGACATCACAGTGCACCTCGGGGGTGCCGTGTCGGTGGAAATTTGTGGGCGTCTGACGGACTTCCTGGTCCACAGGGACAACCATATACGGGTTGATGTCTCCGCCGCGACCAGCTTTTTGGTCATCCCCGCTCCGACAAGGGTTTTGGTTGGCATCTCCAGTCCGACCGAAATTCTCTTTGTCAGCCGAAACGCGGCCCGGTGCGCCGGCAGTGTAGGTATTGGAGGCAGCCAGGGGTTTCCCAGGCGTCTTTCCACGAGCCCGCATATGCCACGAGGAGTGGTCAGCGGGCTGGACACAGCTCACAGGGACGTCTGAGATCTCCTCGTAAATATGCGGAGACTTCTCCTCCGGGGCTGCCGGGGTGGGCGGCAGCTGGCGTTTAGCAGACGGCGACTTCCCAGCGCCGGTTTTCTCTTTGTCAAAACCGTAGTCATCCTCTTTTTCTATGTCTTCGACACCAGAGGAGGAATTTGGTCGTTTTTCCTTTTTCTTCTCCTTCAGCCAACGCATCATTTTGAGGGGCTATGTCGGAAGGGGGATGGGGGGCGGGGAAAAGGTCAAGGACAGAGTCAAGACCAAAGGTTGGGGTCAGGGTCACAATGGCCTCATCCCGCTGTCCCCTATGCGGACAGACGGCCGGCCGTTCTTGGAGAGGAAGTGGTTAGGGATACGTTGCCATGGTAACAATGTCCTTTCTCACAGCAGACTGGAGAGGGAAGAAGAAGAAAATAGAGTTTGAGATGTTATAATAAAAGAAAAGCGTTCTGCCCTCAACACCTGCACGTTATGGAAGCCATAAAAAGTTAACGAGAGATTGACGCTCACAGCTGAAATCTCGAAGAAATATTCTATTATGGGAGTATGCTAAGTTAGAATTACAAAATTCTATCTGACATTTTTAGCCGTTTTGTGTTACTAAGACCATGGGGCCAGAAACCAAATGTTACGCCTGTTCTATAAAAATCGTAAGATTATTTTGAAGTCGCTATCAAGATATTCAAAGAATTGCATTCGAACAAACTTGACATGAAATGAAACTCAAAATCTTTGACGCAAAATTTCTCAAAATTAGTAGCTGGGTAGATAGAACTTTGTAATTCTGAGGTAGCGAGTAGTTTGTGTTTTTGCACTTTTACGGGGATTTATTCAGACAGGGTAATTTAGTTTTAGTAAAGAGTTTTACGGCACTTGCAACACAATAAGGTCATATAAGTGCCGAAGATTAGAGGTGTTACAAGAGAGTAACAACAAACGTAAAAAAGAAGGAGGAG